TTCTGTGTGCTTTTCTGCAAACAATTCCTAATCCCCATTGGCAGCCAGGTGGTTAAATATAATTCTACATGACAAGCTCAGACTTTGTGGCATCCAAATGAAAATATGGTAAAAAAGACAATTGCTCACATTGTTTACAATAGTTAAAGACAAGTAGATCTATTAGAGAAATCTTGTAAAAAAGCCCACAATAGTGTGTAAAAGAAAACTACTTGACTGCTGGTATGAGACAAACAAAAAGTCATTTGCCTCTTTTCCTATGATACTTATCGGAGTTTCTAGTTGTTCAGTTTGACTGATTCTATCAATAGAATAACAGAATAACTTAGGATGCAATGGATAAAATCTGTTTGCCATTTTATGCATGCCATTTAACAGATATTTGGGTCTAATGGACTCTTCCCATTATTTTGTTGTACTAATGGTTCAAAACTGCTGTAAAATACAAAACTTTACCAAATTACACTTTCCAGTCCTCACAAGCAACCAACACATCTCCAATGTTCACTTCACATGTAGAACTCACTTAGTACTTGCTAGGAAAGCAGTATATTAATTTCTGCCCAAAGACAGTTCAATGTATGTATTAGCTTCATTATACTCAATGCTGTCAAACAATTCTATGTCATGTCACAGTGCTGTTGCTATGAAGTTCTCAGCCAAAGAAGTGGCTAAGTACACAGGAAACATCTTGAATCAAATCACCTGTCTTTGTCACATTTCAAGAGCTTTGAATAATTTCATTTTGATTTAGCAAGATTCAGTGCTGCAATATGAGAAAATCCTGACATGAAATCAACATGAGAGTGCTCTCTCTCTCTCTCTCAAGATCAAAGCCCTTCATGGCATGTGACCAGGTTATCTGAGGGACTGTCTTTCCTCAATTATATCTGCCCGTCCCATCAGATCTGGCAGAGAAGGCATGCTGCAGGTCCCGTCTGTTAGGGAACTACACTTGGGAGGTCCCAGGAGGCAGCCCTTCCCTGCCATGGCACCCACCTTATGGAATCTTCTCCCTCTGGAAGTGAGGTTAGCTCCATCCCTGTTAATATTCCATAAGTCTCTCAAGACCTGGCTATTTCATCAGGCCTGGGGATCCCAGGGGACTGGTGAGATCTTGAGGTGGCTCCCTTACTGAGATTAACATTTATCCTCTCTTGTGCCTTGTGCTTTTTAATATTTTTTAATAATTGGTTTTTTTAATATATTTGTTTTTTTTTAATTAAGTGTTGTACACTTCCCAGAGTCACGTTTGTGAGATGGGCGGCCGTATAAATTTAATAAATAAATAAATAAAATCAACATGTGCTAATATCCCGGCCAACTTTCAAGGAAAAATTAGTATCTAAGAGTACAACCTATGGCCAATAGGATAGCACAGAATTCTTAACTTTTAGTCCTCTATCGTCAAGGGCAAAAGCTCTGCAGCTGGAGACGATCTAATATCTGATCTCCCTTTCCAATTCTAGAATTGAGAAATCCTAATCTTTGAAAGTTCTAAAGGGAGTAAGATATTGTGAAGTTGGAATTAAGGATCTTAAACCTCCCTATTCCTTTTCCATCTCCTCCCCTCCTCCCCCTGCCCCAGTCTAATATTTTTCCCTTTCTCCCACAGTTTGCAAATATAAGGTAAGCTAAAGGATATTCAGGCAAAGCCCATCTCTCAGTTATCTGAAGCAAACATATTTGTTTTCATTACAAGGAGCACAGCAAGTGATTAACTTCTGATGAAACACTCTACTGTACATTTTAAGATTGTCATGTCACTGTAGCTAACAAAGACAGTTTAAATTAAAAATGATTACAAATTGCTTCATGTAGCCTCAGTCAGCAAAGGAACTTGTTACCATGTTAATACAAAACAAATACTTCTCAATTTTGACAATTTTTATTCTCTATTGATTGTCAATTTGCTCTCCCATGTGGACTAATAATTAGGAAGTGCAGTTTAACATAACCACCAACATATGAAGTTACAAGACAAAAAATAATGTAACTTAATTTTGTCTCAATACAAGACAAAAAGTAATGTGACTCAATCCAGGCTATAAGTTAGCCTCTTAAATGCATAATTCAAATTTTATATTAACTGCAAGTAGACCATGCAGCTATAGGCAAACCACTACCCTTTGTTTTCCTAATAGCTATCCAGACTAAATTAGAATACTTTCCTACACTGCTGTTGTCACTGAGGTTCTGTGTGAAGCATCTGGAACTCTTAAAATAAGCCATATAAATATCATGTATTATTATAAACAACACAAGCTGCAACTACTGCCACTGAAATGAAAGCACTTTCAGTCAAGATAATGGAACAATGTGCATATTTTGGACTTTTTTTTTTACAAAGTATCTTTTGTAACATTGTGGACACTCCAAGATGTTGCTAAATCTGTTATGCATATTAAAGAATGTATTTCCAAATATAGCATTTTTAGCTGTACCCCATCCTGTAATTAATTCCTTTTGTCAACTTGCTTGCTTTATATGGAACAGGGGAATAACAGGTTGGCTGCTTCAACTGAGAACTACCTGACCACCAACAGACTCAGATAAACAAACCAGTCAACTGAAGTAGCTTTAGTACAATGAGAGCCAGTCTGGTCTAGCGGTTAAGGCACCAGGCTAGAAAGCAGGAGACGGTGAGTTCTAGCCCTACCTTAGGCAGAAAAGCCGGCTGGGTGACTTTGGGCCAGTCACTCTCTCTCAGCCCAACTTACCTCACAGGGTGGTTGTTGTGGGGAAAATAGGAGGAAGAGGTGTTAGGTATGTTCACTGCCTTGAGTTATTTATAAAAAAATAATAAAGGTGGGATAAAAAAAAGTACTATATTGCTGATGTGAAATAAACAAAAGCTGGGCTATGAAGAGTTTTTGGCAAAGCCAGTCAGGAAGAATAATCTATTTCCAACGTTCCTCAAAAGAAAATAAAGATAATGTTTGCTCTCAACTCAAGGGGTTGGCAAAGGAGGAATTAGTGTTCCCAAATGGACACCATCTTTTCCATGCTGATTCCAGCTGGTATCACTGGGCTGCTGCCAAGGTCACAGAACTCTCTGATGCCACTTTTAACTAGCTAGCTGACATTGCAAAGCAGCAACCATCAACACTCTATGCTGTCACAACCACATGTTTGTCCATTCCTCTAGGCTGTCTTACTGGCACATATCATGACACAAACATCATTTCCTCCTCCCCATTCAAAGTTGGCAAGTGTCATTTTTAAAAAGTAGTGATCACTACTTTCTTGCCAGCCCTACCCCTTTATATAATAGTAGGGAGACAAGAGAAAGTAAGGAGCAGCAACTCAAGACACCTGATATGGAGGACTGAGCGACCCAGCTACTATACAATCCAAAGACAAGATTTAAGTTTACAGCATGGCAACAACCATTCTTGACTGCCAATTCAGGTAAGCAAACATCTGCTACCTCCCACTTATTTAACCATCCCCTTAAGCAGTGCAGGAGCATCACTCTGCTAGGAGTACAGAAAGTGATGTCTTTCCCTTATGAGGAAATCTCATTTGATAGGGCTGAAGGCGGCTTATTAAGGCAGATGCCTATATAGCTGCTATTCGGAGGCAAACTAGTACCAGGAGAGCAGTACCTTTTTTTTTTTTTTTTAGGGTTGGGGGCACCTTCTATAACAATGTAGCAATACTCCTCAGCCGGTTGAAAGCAGACAAGACAGCAGTATTTCAAGGAGCAGCCATCTCTGTTCATTTGTCCCATTCTTAACCCATTTTATATTGCATTATAGACACCTCATCCCCACTCAAAAGAGTTGGACATTCAAATGGAAACGGCTACTTCATGGATGATCAGGCAAGCAGCAACAGCAAGGAGCAGCGACTGCTATTCACTTATTGGTTCCCTCTGGGCAGTCCAGCAAGCCTTCTCTCATCAGCCACATTGCCCAGGAAGACAAAACAGAGGATGGGAGACTCTTGTTACCCCTGCTTCTACTTCATAGTTGCCTCAGAAGGAATTTGCAGTAGCATTCTCTGCATAATCTTCTTGGGCACCAAAGATGGGAGGAATGAGTTTCCCGAGTGACCCAGGAGGCCTCTCTAAAGCCTATTCACTGACCCTGTGGCATCTATTAAACATTGATCAAGCCACCCTCGTTGTTGTTTTACTTATAACACGATATCCAGTATATGGGGGGGAGGGACATATCCTCCACTCAGTCTTTGCAAGAATTGGAGGCGTCTCAGGCCACCCAGCTCTCGTTCCTTCAGAATGATGCTGTTTTGCCCCTCATTAACCTCAGCCCCGGACTATCCGTCTCCTTTCCCATCCTCAGCCATTTCACCCACATGTATATATACACCCATCATACACGTGCGCGAGAAGCACCCTTGGGCCACCCAGGCCGTTCCGAATTCTCTCTTCTCGCACGCCCATCACTCCGACTCCTGGGCGCGCGCCCCTCCTCCTGGCCACCGCCCGGGCCCCTTCTCAGAGCTTCCTCACAGCTCCTGAGGTCCCGCCCACATACGGGAAAAGGGGCGGGTTCTCACTCCAGCTGCATGCTCTGATTAGCCGAGTCGCCCACCACTCGTCCCGACCGTTGCGCTAATTGACGCGGCTGAGCTGCCAATCACCGCCAGGCGGAACCCATCTCGCAAGTCTTGGAGGAGTTAGGCTTTTCTTGAGGGGAGGAGGAGGAGAGGACGGGTGAGAGAAACTGAGAAGCAACGGAGACACTCACCTCGGGAGTGGAGAAGGGAGGGAAGTGACCGAATTCCCTTCCCTTTAAGTCCCCGTGTCCCTCCGCCTGGCGCCGACACTAACGGGACTCTCCCCACTCTTGAGCAGCGGCCCCCAAGTCTTGCTGTGGTGGATTGCTGTGCCCCCCCGTTTTCTGAGCACCCGAGATCCTCGCGAGATTTGCTGAAAAGGCGGGGTCACCTGACCGCAAAGCCAATGAGAGAGGGGTGGGTGGGATTAGGGAAAACAGGAGGCGGTGCTGAGGGTTAGCGGCGGCGGCTAAGGGGACGGTCGGCGGTCTTGGTGCGGCTTCCCGCCGCCTAGCTCCCAGGGCGGGGACAGCGGGCGGGCGCATGTGCGCGCGAGGCACGCCCACGGAATTCGGGCTACGGCCCTCGAGACGAAGCTGTTCCCGAATTCTTCTCCAGTCTGGCACCCTCCAGGTGCTGGCTGGGAGGTTTTACTCGTATGCCAGCTGGAAGACGGTAAGTTAGGGAAAGTTGATTTAGTCATCCTCTCTTCCAGCCAGTGCCCAGAATGATGGTCGAAGGCCGTAGTGTGCATCAAATATGGCCACGTCCCCAGAGCATTTAACCAGTAAATCTGGAGTTGAGTGGCCTTATTTCCAGGTAAGTGGCTATATCACTTACAGAGTTATATCTGTAGGGGTGGAGGAATTGCGATAATTAAGACGTTCAACTGTCCTTTGCTATTGACCATGCTGTGTTTAATGTTCTTATTTATTAACATTCCATAACAGATTCTTGTATCTAATCAAACGTGGCTAATTGGAAAAAGCCAAGTAGAGTTAAAATTAGTACTGGGATTGGAGGCCACCAGGAAGGACCTTCCAGAAGAAGGCAGTAATAATCCATTTATATAGTGTTGCCAAGAAAACTGCATGGACGTGAACCAGAAGTTGAGTTTGAAGGAAGTTTTTATCTTTACCTTTTACTTATCAAAATCCTTCAACATTCTGCTGTTTTAACTTGGATTTAAGGGCCGATTTTTTTCTGATAAAAATGTTTTGCAACTATCAAGATGACACACACAATTTCTATAAAAGGATCAGGTTACCACAGAGACTGGGAACCTATCCCTCAGACATTAACTATGATTGACAGCAAATCAGCTACTATGGTCAATAGTGAGGGATAGTTCAACAATAATACCTGGTCTGGCATAGGTTACCAAACTCTGGATTAGAGTGCCTTTGGTCATCACATTAAACCATACAATTACTTTCATTTTGCCAAGTGTTTTGTGTGAAACTATAGATATTTGTAAATTATGGAATGTGGCTTGATGTGTGAACCCAGTTGTGGCTTCAGTAAACCAAAGTTAAGTAAACCATGAATTAAATCAGTATCTGAACCTAGCAGTATCTAATAAAGATTGTGAAATCAGATTCAGATGTCCACTCAGGCATCTGATAGACCTTGGGGCAATTATACTGGCTGTGTTTATGCTGATATAGCAAGCTCCATATTTTGCCTATATTGACCAAATCCAACCTTTATACTTAAGTTCATGGTTCAGTGTGCTGTGAAAATTTGAATATTTAGATTGAGTTAAGCGTGGGTATACCTATCCAATCCCAGCTGTTGTCTTTCATCTTTCTTTAATTTATAGGTTATTATAAGGATAAAATAAGGGGAAGAATCACTGCACTACTTTGAGCTTATTGGAGAAAGAGCCAACCTAAATGGAAGTAATAAATCCATTAAGAAAACTTCTCTTCTTGAGATTGGCTGGGTTTGTGCACTTTTTTCCATGCTAACTCCAGTCAGTTGAAGAATTATTACTTGTTTTGCATTGAAATGATTGATGTGGTGCATACTGGCTCACATCTTCATTCTTGTGCAATCTTTTATATCCTCTGGTTTAAAGAATAAACTCATCATACTTAAGTCATACTTAATCGGTTACAGGGATTAACGTGTAATGCACATTTTTATGCCTACCCACAATTTATTACAAATTCCAAAAGATTCATTGTTACAAGGTGGAGGAAAGAGAATAATCTACTTAAAATTGGGATGTTACTGTAGTGCAGCCTTCCCTAACCTAAACGCTGTATTTTAAGACATCTGCAGGAGTCCATCTGAGCGAGTTGTTCTAGTGAATACCCATATTAGTGTCTGAAAGTTTTGCATGCTTCTATTTTACTTAATATTCACTTTATATCAATGTTTTGTTTATCTAATGGTGTTTTAATTTTAACATACAGTACAGTCCTGTACAAAATGGCTGGGTTGGCATAACTTTGTAGTTAGTTTGAAGTACAAACCAACCACAATTTAAGAAACTCAGCTTTTGCAGTGGAGTATGGTAAGTATATTGCATGGATACACCTACTTCAGTTGGACTTACTCCCTTCCCTAGGAATTATGATTTTAGGACTTCCACCTTAGACTGATTCAGGTTCATTGACTAAGTTCACATAATGTTCCAAGGTAATAATTTGCTTAACCATGGCTTACTGAATAAACCACAGTTGGGTGGGTTCATACTACACACAAATTGATCAAACTGCTCTGTCAGTTAACTGGATGTACAAATACAGCATTCACACATGGATTAAACAACCTGAAGCCACAGAGTTGGAACCAGCCATTTAAACCATTGAGTTCAACACACCTGAATGACCCCTACGTGAGGCTTCTCAATATCATTAGTTTGTCAATTGTCATTCATCAAATGCGTAAACAAAAAAGAGATATCCATACATATTTTCACTTGCTATAGATCACATCTCCTTTTAATGTATGTTTATAGCCAGCATCGTTGTAGTAATAGTAAACAAATTCATAAGATAATTCAATTTGAAACAAATGCAATGGAGTCTTACCTCTCTTCAACTCTGTTACCCCTTCTGTCCCAGTGTATTACTGATCTAATGCACAGGAGAGCAACCTATGGCCCCTGGAGCACTTTTCTGAATGCCCCAAAATCAGCAGGCTGATCCCCATAACAATGAGCGGAGAAGCCTCAAAGTGTAACATAAATCCTAAAATCTTAATGCTAAAGTTTTGTTTGCTTAATATAGTGTGAAAAATTTAAGACAGGAAATGAACCTACATTGTTTTTGTTGCATGGAATCTTCTATTAATCACTGTGAGGTAAAGATAGCTGCTTCAGCTATACTATTAGTAGAAACCGATACTCAGTTGTAGTAAGGACAGAGATACCTGAACACCTCCCTTCCTGTAAGGATCCCAACACCTACTGAGTCCACCAAACAATTCTTCTGTCAGAGCAAAGGGAATGAGGACAATACCAGCCCAGCCCACGCAAGCAGAGCAAGCCTCTGAAAGCCAGAATCCCACTGGTTCTCTCTAGGGGCAATCCTGGCTTTCAAAGGATTATTCTCTTTATTCCAATATTGGTAGGCTTTGACACCTGATTACTAAATGCATTACGCATTGGTCCAGTTTACCAGCTGGGACCGTATGTATACCTTGAAGCCAGCAAGGCAGACCACCTTTGCCCCAACATGGATAATGTTTATTTCCTGGTTTAAAACCTGCTGGAAAACCAAAGCTGTTCTTGAATGTTTCAGTGCCCTGGGGTAGGGGTGAGAGGAGACCAGGAGGGATAGTGAATCTAGCATTCTTTTAAAAAGGACATCATAATTGCCTTGTTAATACTGTGTCAGTGAAATAATGTCAAAACTGTCAAAGATTAAGCAAATGATACTACAGTAAGTGAACAAGATAGTATTTGCTGCCATTATTAATTAAATGTACAAGCCATGCAGTTATTTAAGTTGTAGCTGTCTCTTTGCAGGCTGCTGAATACCTCTGGGCCCAGTCAACTCAAGAGGAGCCAGCTGACAAGGAAAGTGTGCGATCTAGGAAATATCCCAGGCATTCCCACTGAAATAAGCATGTCCCCTTTGATGTGCCAGGAACAGATGCTATCTGTGTGCAGTAGGGGTCCACAAGGAATATACTGTTGAATAAAAGGGTCAGGTGGCAACTGGAGATGAGGAGTCACTTTTTTGTGAGATGGGCAGTATCTAAATGTGAAATATAAAATAAAATATAAAATAAATAATGAAAACAGCTTTCCTTCCCCAACCAAGTGCTCTTGAGATCTTGGGACTGCAGTTCCCAGAACACCTGTGCTGGTTAGGAATTCTCGGAGTCGCAGTTCCAGTGTACCTGGGAGGTACCCTGTAGGGGAAGCTTGAATTGGTGGTGGGAGTGAAGGGATAAAATGCTGCTTGTATTAGGTGTGGGAAATACGTGGTCATCCAGATGTTGAGCTATTGATTACAGTGGCTACTCATCACTCAGAGATAGCGTCCTCCCACCAAGGGCAAAAAGGACAGAGGCGAACAGTAAAGCAAACAAAAACAACTGTTCTCCTACTGTTCCGACTGTTCTCCTACTGTTCCCCTTTTTTGGAAATGCTTTTACCTCACTGAAATAGCAGGCAACTTTTGGAAATTGTTGTTCCTTGGTATAGGATCCCAAGTATACACACTCAACTGGGTAGCCAGCAAGCTGGCCATCAGCCTAGGTAAGAGCATGGGGTGAGATAAGGCTGCCAGATTTTTTTTCTTTCAGGTGCTGCTCCTGAATAAACAGTTTTCTCTTCTGCTCAAAATTACAAGGGTGATTAAACATTTGCAACACAAATGAGAGGCAAGGCAAGGATTTCTTTTTCTTAAAGCAGCCTTTAAGCAGTATGTACCTTGACAGTATGTATCTTGCCACCAAAGCAATTGACAATCCTTGAGACGGATCTCTGGCAGTCTTTACTATCACTCCTACAGGGGGTTTATACTGCAGCACAAGGTGTAAAGGTTTGATCACGCATTAGGCTTAAGCAGGGACTTTACTTGAAGGGTTTGCTTTTTTTCTTCGCTGGCTACAGAAACCCCATGTGCATGCCCACATTCTTTTCACTGGCTGGTGTTTGAGAGCAGACCAACTCCTAGCTTTTGCCAAGCAAGAAGGGAATCATTCTTTGTTCTTGCTGAATGAATGAATGGAAAGCTCATATCCAGGAGCTAGCGACACACATTCTTTCCCTCAAAATCATTAAGTATCTTCTTACTAGCTGCAGTCAGAGGTGGCCTCAAACTACAAAAATAAGATCCAAAAACAGTCCAGTGCAGAACATCCCTCCTCCCCCAAGCACAAAAAGCCACTCTCTGGGGTTTTAGTCCAGCTCCACATGTGTATGAGACCAAATGGATCATATTACATTCAGGTTTTTTTAATACAATATTTAACACTGTGGCACTTGCTTTATTGAAATGGGAGAAAGAAACCAACTAAATGTTAAATGTAATACAGCTTCTTTGTGTCCAGTCAATTCATCACAGTATGCCTCCTCACCAGAAGCAAAAATGAGCAGAGTAGAATTTAGTTCTCCAACTGTTGACTTCCAAATGTGTTGTACTACAATTTTTATAGATATTTGTTTAGTAAATAATTTCCTGTCATCCTTAACCAAATAGACATACTAAGGAGATTTGTGCAGTAATGGCACCTTTTGTCTCCCCTTCCTGATTTGTCTGGTTTTAAATTACCATGTAACATGAACCCAGGCAATTGTGGCTTTCTTCAGAGCCATGGTGTAATACAGGTAGTCCTCGACTTACAACTGGTTGTTTAATGACCATTCAAAGTTACCATGGCCTCAGAAAGGGTGCTTTATTGCCTGTAAAGCACTTCCGGCCATTGTAAAATGTCACACCACATGCCCCTCCCCCCACAGTCTCCGACCACATCTCAGGTGCTTGGCAACCAGCTTGCATTTATGACTGGTTGCCAAGCACCCTGTGATCATCATTTGTAATCTTCTCTGCCGGCTTCCCCAGAAAGTCAATGGGGAAGCCAGGGAAGGTTGCAAGCGGAGGGAAGCTGAAATCCCTCTGCAGGTTGCAGGAACAGAGCTCAAATTCTGAAGATTTCAGCTCCGTTCCTGTAGCCCCAGGAAGGATTTCTGCTCCGTGCACAGAGGGGAGGGAAAACCCTTCAGCAGGCTGCAGGAATTTTTGAAAGTGAAAGGGCTGCCTGCTGGGAGGATTTCAGCTCCGGGCAGAGCTAAAACCATCCAGCAGGCAGCCCTTTCGCTCTGTCTGCCTAACAATCCAAGAGATCGCTTAAAGACTGCAACTCGGATTGCCCAGATTGCGGTTGTTGAGTGAAGCAATCATGGGCATCCCGCTTAATAACTGCTTTGCTCAACAATTGAGATTCCAGTTCCGACTGTGGTTGTTAAGTGAGGACTACCTGTATCAATCATTGCATCTCATTACTCAATCACCGCAGTCTTACGTTGCTCCGATTCATAATGTGGATAGCTTGGTTTTGGCCAAGTGTAATGTCTGAATCCAACCAATGCTAGTTTTATATTCAACAGGCCACTGTTAAATAATGATTTAACAGAAGAGAGGAAAAGAGTCTATATCTATTCAATGTTCATTAAATATCTATTCTGTCTTTCCTTCAGGAGCCCAGGATGGTGTACATTGTACTCCCATTTTGGATTGGGCTGTGTGTGTGAGAGATGGGCCCAAAGTCAGTGAGCTTCTGTGGCTGAAAGAGATTTAATACTTGTAGTCTGATACCTGATTAGGTACCACACCAGGTTATCTCGTCAGGCTACACTGCATCCACTGAAGCATAGTATAAATGGAATTAACACCAACAATGTTAAGAATTGCACTCTGGAACGATTCTGAGCAGTCTATTCATGTGAACAACGATGCCATCATATTGGTACCACTTTACAAGCAGATGGCATAAACTACCACTCAGTTTTGCAATGTAAGAAAGGTTGCAGTGGGAAAGTAGGAGGTGAGGGAAAGGCAGTGAAGTTTTATGGAGTCCTGAGTGCTCTCTGAGCTTGTTGCCTGCTTGCAGACATTTAATTACCCAGCTAGGTAGCATCAGTGCTAGTGAGTTTGGGGTTTGCTTCCAAGTAGCTTGCCCTGCCAGTGTAGCGGGGGGGTGGTTTGCTCCTTGGTAGTTACTTGAGGGTATTGTTTTCTCCTTGATTGTCTGGTGTTAATCCCTGCTTATCTGGACGTTGGCTGCTGGAAAGGATGTGTTCTGGTCTTTTTGTTTCCTTAGCTTCTTTTATTGTCTCTTTTGAATGGTATGTAAATATAGTTTATTTCTATGTGTTTATTGATGGCTGATTTGTCTGAATGTCAAGCTTCGAGGAATTCCCTAGCGTTTTTGGATTTGGCTTGGTCTAGGATGCTCAGTTTCCCAGTTGAAATTGTGGTTAAGTCCATGTGCTTTGAGATTAAGGAGTTTTCATTGTGTCTTCTATTAGTTGGTGTCTGCAAGCAAATAACCAAGCACAGAAAGCACCAAGGACTCCACAGTTTAACCCTGAGCTACATATATTCTCTTCTATTGGAGTACAGTTTCAATTGTTCTTGTTTGATACTTCTGTATTTCTTGCCTGCCCATTTTCCAGCAAGAGATGAAATAAGTACAGAAAGGATGGGGAAATGCCACAGAGGATATCCATTCTTATTCTAAATGCTTTATATCCCAGATACTTCTAATCCAATGAAACAGATATATATACAGATAGCTACCTCCATTTTGTAGTATTCTGCAGAGAACCAGTAGAAAGACACTTCGCTGATGGAGATGAGAGAAGATTGATGTATTAGTGGTAACAATTTGGGAATGAGGAGTTGAGCAGTTCTACCATTACTACCCATTTTATATCTCTGGTCCTAGATTAAATTATCTATTAAGTACTTCACTTTATCTCCTACATAGACTAAGGACGTCTCTCAGACATGATGTTTCTTCAGCTCATATACAGACTTGTTAGCATTCCCTTCATTGTTTAACTATTACTGCTCGCTCACCCCCCGCCCCCCATAGCCAGGTTGGCATCAGTAGCAAGTTTCCAAAACACAGCCATAACTGTAATACGCAGCTCAGCCAGTTCCTTAGCAACCCCAGTCCAGATTGCCAGGACCAGCTGTGGGTTGACAACAAGCAGCAGCAACCCTAGCCAATATAGTCAGGCTCCCAAGAAGCTCCCAAAATAGTTTCCAACCATTTGTTCACCCTGTACAATCATATGCAAAACATTCTAGTCAAGACAAATGATAGAGCATATGGGCCTTTCCTCCTCAAAAATCCTGAAAAACATTGAAGAAGGTGATGAAAGACCACCACCCTCTTTTTTTCCTTCATTTTTTTCCTTTGACACCATTTCAGCCTTTTTAGGTCAACTCCCCTAAAGAAACCCTGGTACTGAATGATTATATACCTTTTTTATTTTTAAGGATAGAGATGTTTCTAAGTTATGAAATTGTGTTGCACAAGATTCATTCCTTTTCTCATATAAGCAACCTAAAGGGAGAAGTGGAGGGAAAGTCCCATGGCAGAAAAACAACCAAGTCGAAAGCCCTTCCTAATTCTAGCGGGGATGCAGAAGATGAGGAAGCAGCTGAAGGTTTTAGTGCTGCAACCGAAAGGATTACAATTCCAGATTTTCCACCTGGCCCATGGGCTGGCTTTGCTGTGAGCAGGAAGGCAGATCTGTTCCATTTAATGCCCCTGTGATGCTGTGTTGGAAGCACTCAATTTTTTTTTTTTTTTTACCTGATATGTACTTAAGCTTAAAGAGTTAATTACCAAGCAATGGATTGAAGAACACATACCTATTTGGCTTCTCTTCCATTCTCTCTGTTCCTCCTCCAAATTTGATATTTTTAAATCCTCTCTGACTTTTTCTTAGTAGCTAACAGAGCTGCCTTTCAATAGAACCTTCACACCCCAGGCTTTTTAAAAACATAAGTATGAACATTACAAGAGTGGGCCATAATCTTAATACTTTTCTTCTAAACTTCCTAGAGCATCAAGGCAATTTTCACCTTAGTATGCTCTATTACATTGACAAGAATTGACTACAGACTTCTGGAGTCGTCATAAGTATTGCTAATAAAGTGCATGGTGGTAAACATTGTCACATAAGCCAAAACTCAAATAAGCACCAAGCTAGAATAGTCAGGAACCCTGCCCTATGCTTTCCAAGATACCCATAAGGCTTAAAAAACAACAGTAGATAATCTGATACCTTCCAGATATGTTGGAATTCAACTTCTATCAATTGTACCCAGCACACCCAACAAGAGATTGTTCAAGCATAATCCAAAACATCTGGAAGATAAAGGGACTGAGAATACTTTTTTCCATATAAGAGTATTAACCTGAAACCCAGAGGTTTAGAAACCAAACAAATATTTGTAAATAAAATATAATAAAAATATATTCCTTATTGTGATCAGAGTGCAAAAAGGTTATCTTCTTTGCCAACAATTAGACCCAAGACAAAGGGTGGAATTCACAACTGAGTTATGCCTAGTTTCCTTACCAATGATTTATTGAAGGACTTCCATCTTACATAACACTAAGCAAATTCTACAGGTGTGATAACTCAAATTTGAAATATTTTAAGCTTGAAATAGCTGTTCAGACCTTTTGGAAGTGTTCTGAATACTTCTGGTAAAGTTGGAACTATTTCAAGCTTGAGACGGGAAATCAAAAAAGTTTCCAATCTCTAGCTAAAATCAAATGATACGGTTTAGTATGACTGTGAATTCAGTCTAAATGTAAAATCAGTTACAAGTTCATGGGAAGAAGAGAGGTCTGCAGGATCCCATGGTTCCTGAGAGGATGCCATTATTTTCATGTTCTATTGGTGGGCTTCCTCCCCAAAGGTGTGTGGTTGGCTATTGTAGGAAAGAGGATACTGAATTTGATCAGCCTTTAGTCTAATCGAGCAGGGTTCTTCCAAGCACCAAAATCATGTTTACTAAACATCTCAATGATAACTCTTAAAGGAAAAGGGACACTTCAAAGGCTGCTGGTTCTTGGCCATGTTTTAATTTACTGGAACCAAGAAAACCAAATTCTACAAAAATTTGTCAAAAGCAGGAGTAATTATTCTAAATGCTACAAAACAAAAACAAAAATGCCTAAACTAGAACAGGCAAGATTCTTGCAGCTGGGGCTTCCCAAAAATTATTTCTTTGGGTTAAGGGCCACTGCAGTGATGTTGCCAAAGGGGGTGAAGACAGATTTGTTTAATGTTTGACACTGACTTTTCTTATGCCTAAAATAGGTGGGTCAAACATAAAATGCTTATTTCACCCTTTTTTAAAAAACAGAAGATTGTAGGGAATCTCATTCTTATTTGCTGGTCGCTAATACATTCTAATAGCAGTGTCTTGGAGGGCCAGGAGGAAAAAAAGAGGGGGCTCAGGAACTGTGTCTGGCATAGAGGCTGTCCATCCTGCTGCAAGCTAATGACATGCCAACAGAAGCACTAATAAGTATTGCTACGAGCCTATGACACTAAGGACAAGCTTCATTAAATTCATTAAGATTTCATAAAGAGTAATGGCATCAAACTACTGATTAGATATTCCACACTTATTGCAAATTACTGAACTAAAAAAACTTACAGCCATTACAGGATTTTCAATGATCTACTGGATGCACTGAACACATTCTATTATGCTGTGCAACTGGCTGACATTATCATATGGAATTCATGTCTCCCACTGGTCACCCACCAATCAATCACTGCCTAACACCATGGGGAAAATATTTGGAACCAGATGTCTATCACAAAACCAAATATGCACACTAAAAAACCCAGGAAATGTATACCAATGCTGTATTTATTCACTTGCCCCCAGTGAACAGGGAGGATTGGTTACAGGTGGGCTTCCCCTCTCTCCCACAAAATGCTCAGCTCAGTGTACACATTAGACTAAACACGGAGAAGAAAGGAAGATCATGTCACAAGTAGTGCATCTGGTTTTGTCACATTGCAAAGAGAATGAGGAATGCTACCATCAAGCAGAAGAGCCCCATGGCCTCAGAGAGTGCAAAACCCAGGATGGCATAGGAGAAGAGTTGCTGCTTCAGTGAGGGATTTCTGTGAAGGAATTAAAAAAGAGAGAGAGAAAGAGAGATAAACACCAATCAGTGGAACAGAGAAGAGCTATAGTTGCAGCATCTCTCAAGGGTAGGTTTGAAGTTACATCACTCCTGGCCATGTCACACTTATTAGGAGAAGCAAAAAACCTAGCTGCATGCAGAGCCTTTTGCAATTAAGTCTACAGAATTTATTAGACTATAAAGATTTTACTAGGGTTTATTCTGCATCAGGTCTTTTTAGCACCACTTTTCTGCAGTCAATCGCAAGTAGAATTAAAACTAAGGCTCCGAAAGACACTTAACATGCTACTATATCAATAAGTAGTGGCCAAGAGCTTTCAAGGTTTACTTAGAAATAAACTGCTTTCTGCAAAGTTTCCTTGCAATGTTAATTAGGAACTTCCTTTTGCACTTTTGTCCATCACTGTTTCTTATTCTGCACAGCTACAGCATCACTGATAAAGAGACTTTTCCTCAGTTTCTGCTCTCTGAAGAAGAACAAGAGGAAACTAATTATTCATTTTAAAAATGAATGGCAGTGCTATTCACAAGGGAGATCTTTCTTCAAAAATGGGATGGATAATGTTACTAATCATATATCCTTACTGAGAAGAACTGAATAATTAAGGACAATCATCAGTAATGTCAGAGTTATACTGAGCTAAAGCAATCAGGCAGAACCTGGGAGGAGGAAACATCTAATTAAAGGCACAAAAGGCCTGGAAAATTCCATAATCCCTTGCCACTGTACAATGATGCTACAAATGGGATGTAAGTATAACTCCTTTTCCATACCTGGCATAGCCAATGATGAGACTGCCAAATACTGTTCCAATGCCAGCACCAGAGCCAGCTACACCCACGGTTGCAGCGCCAGCACCAATAAACTTGGCGGCAGTATCAATGTCCCTGGACACAGCACTTGTTTGGAACTCCCGATGCAACAGTGGCAAAGCTGCATTTTGAGAACCTGAAAGGCAGCAGGGCTAGGAACAAAGATGAAGAAATAGGGGAAGTAGAAGGTAAAGGAGGTGACAAAATGTAACTATGTAATAATCAGCACTGCCTGCAGCCATTACCAATCTTGGCTGTTGGTGTTTATTATCTTTTCAGCACTACCAAGTACACCAGAGTTCAATTTAAAACCAATTCATAGCTTGGCTTCATAGTGGCTACAAACTTTGGCAGGGGGCAACTACCTCCGTTTGGGCCAGTATAATTACAAAGGAAAGGTGGGCAATCTGGTGTCCTTCAGATGTTTCATTGGCTCCAGACAGCAGGGTGCTGTTGGTCTTACAGTACAAGCCATATGGAGAGTATCAGATTGCCTAAACCTGGGGTAGAGAATCACATAACAACAAGACCTGGATTTAAATGCCTCTGTAACTGTGAAGCACGCTGCATTTCACTGGCTGATCCCCATCTGGCAACCAAGCTAGAACTGTATGTGCTCTTTACAAGAGTGGGATTAAAGCAATACGTAAATGAGGAATTGATGGAGAGAATTTCTTGAAGCTTACCAACAATTCCAAAGTTTGAACTAAATGAACTGGCCTTCACTTCTTCCTGTTGTGAGGAGGAGCTGGAAGAACTCCAGATAAGCTCCAAAGGCAGCAGATTCAAACCTGCACAAATTCAAAACTACATCTCCAGGCCCAGCTATTATTAATATTATAGAGAGACAGCCCTGTAGCATCCTGAGGCCCCCTAGTGACTTGTTACAGTTTTTAAAAAGATATCTCTTTGGAAATGTATACTGTTTTATGCCACTGCTTGTATAATCCAAAAAATCCAGCAGAGCCAATTCAATGGAGGAGGAGGGGGAATCTCACCTCAAGAAGCTCAGACATGAACAAATAAAAGACACCGTTTATCTATTGCATCAATCAAACCTAAAGCAATCAATCCAGAGAGTGGGCAGAGACTTAGTCCAGGGCAATCACTCTGAAGTACCAATTAAGAGCAGGGAAATTCCCCTCTCAAGTAGGCTATATAAAAGGGGACAAGGAAGTACTATTTTGCCTTTTGCCTTCCATCATGGGAGGAGAAAGAATCTCTTCCCAAGCTTGCTTCAACCTGGTAAGAAAACCCTCCAACCCAGAGAGTGATTAGAGAATCAGAACAAAATAGCCATAGGGAATAGTGAGATAGACACAGATTAATGTGTTTTTGTTGAATTATTTTATGGATTAATTTGCGCTATGCTTTTGTATCCTGGGTCCTATTTTGTTCTGCCTCTATTGTACAGATGTGTATTCCTGCCTGCAAGAAAAGCCCCTAAGTTAAAGCCTGCAGGAATCACACTCTTTTCTTTTTCCCTTTCTCCCATTGTCTTTCACTCACATTTACTCCCATAATCTTAATCTGTATTATAAAAGCCTTGTTATGTTCTTCTAGAATCAGTATTCCCATTCTGACAGGGAAAGCTCCAATATAGCTATTCACTGACAGTAGTGACGTGCGACATTAAATGTTCTTGGGACAGAATGTTCTGGGGAATTCTGGAATATTCCCCTTGACAACACCAATCTGACTATTCTAGGGGTGATCTGAAGTTTTCAGTATTGTCTGGAATAGCTGCATTAGCCTGGTCTGAAGGACGAATTGAACAACTGTTTTTGCACATCCCTGGTTAAAACTATAGCAAGTTTTTGCCTGCCGGAACTTGGCAGGACAAAGAAGCAATGCTGAGAAGATTCAAAATCTGTCTCTCTTGGATATCCTAACTTACCTTATCTGTCCTGACTTGAGGTCTGTTCAGCACAGAGGCAGAGAGAGGCCTGCACAAAAACGTGGAACTGTTCCTCACCTGCAGAAAGGAAAAACACATTACAGAAGAGAAAGAAAACTTCCACTGGTACAACAAGCTTCCTTGCCAAGCACATTCTAGTTTTAAAAGCAAAATCCTAACTGTTAAAAGGAACGATGGTGGGGTCAAACATGGTGATTTAATATGTTGTGTAAAGTTATGGTTTGTAAACCATAGTTTATGGCTTTGTATTGTATGCAAACCAAACCATTAAGACCTGTTCAAACTACAATAAAAGCAAAAAAGGTTTAATATAATATATAAACACTGATTTGAATATGTCCACAGTAGCCACCCAACATAGCTATGGTGAAGTGTCCTGTTCCTTTTCTAAAAGGGAAAGGTATGGAGGAAGTAAAAGGGGAAACCCCCTGCCAATTTCTTAAACCCAGGTTGGAGGAGGAAGAATCCAAATTAAAGCATCCTTGGAAGATGGCTGTCCAGCTTCTGCTTGAACACATCACAGCGTTTCCACCACCAACTTTTTAGCACTAAAGCATTTTACAAAGCAGTATTTGATGATCACCAGAAACCTTGTCAGGCTAACCTTACCTTCCTAACAACCTCTTTAGCAAAATGTGGGAATGCTTTAGATCTAATTAACTTCGGTTTCAGCAAAACGTTTCATGAGCACCCCATGGCATTCTGATCAGTGACCTAGTTAAATGTGGGTTGGTGGGATAGCTAATACTCTAGAAGACACAACTAAATTTGAAAGGATCTTGGTATGTTAAGAGAAATAGAATGAAAAAGAACAAAATAAAATTTAACAACAACAAATGCAAAGTTCTTTCCATATGAAAGATCAATCAAATACAGAGGTATAGAATGGGCACTGCCTGGCTTGACAAAACTATTTACAAAAATGGTCTTGGAATAGTAGTTGATTGCAAACTGAATTTATGGGAGCGGTGTGATGCAGCTGCATAGGGGCAAACGCAAATTTAGCTGCAGCAAAGGAAGTATACATTTCCAAATTATCAGTAATAATCATTCCACTTCACTGTGCGCTGGTCAGACATCGCCTTGAATATTGTATCCAGTTCTGGCCACCACATTTTAAGAACAATTTAGACAACTGGAATGGATTTGGAGAAGAAAAACAAGAATGATCAGGTGATTAGAAAATAAATCTTATGAAGAGACTGAATGGACTGGGAATGTTTAGAGTTAAGGAGAGATGATTGTGTGGTGATTTAAAGCATTCATCAAATACCTGAAATGATGTCATACAGAAGAAATCCAAGATTTGATCTCTATCATCCCAGATAGCAGGACACAGAATAATGGATCGAATTTACAGGAAGGTAGATTCCAATGGAATGTTAGGAAGTTTACAATAATAACAACTTGACAGTGGAAGTAGTTTGACCTAGTAAGAAGGTGGATTCTGCTGGAAGCATTCAAGCAGAGGTTGGATGGTCATTTATTATAGAGATATTACTTCAGATTCCTGCACAAACTGTGAGGTTGGGTTCAGTGGACTAAATGGCCCCTACCAACTCTCTTATTCTACAATCTCCAAAGGTGCAAGTTCCTTATATATTCCCCTTTTCTCATCAGGATAGCACATATATTTTAATATTTTATCTTAGACATGCACTTTACTTGGGTCCTAGGACAGCAACTATTTCATATTTTAAATAAAATGTTTAGTTTCCAGGAGCACTGATTTAGAAGAAGGTGGTAATGTGGTACATACTAATGTATCTTTAAAAAATAATCAACAGTTCAGAGTGAGTAATACAATATTTGCAACCTGTACAAAGTCATGCAAATAAAATAAACTAGTTTGTGTTTTGTGTTTGTACAATGTATTCTGTTAGGTATACAAGATACTAAAAATTGTCCTGCTGGACCCCTCTGGGCTTTGGAATTTTATTATATTTCTCAGCAGTACGTACTGAGGAAAACCTGTAGATTAAAGCCCAGATTCTGGTAGATTGTAATCCAAAGAACCAGCAGTATTTAGAATCTGAGAGCTAGGCTGACATCTTTATGCTACTTGAGCCATTGTTGAAAAGAACACAAAGCAGCTGGATAGTCCACTTGGGAAGAACAACACCCTTCTCATAGTCAATTGATGTTGGAACTTTCTCAGTACTATCTTAATTTTGGGGACATGGCATGGAATACATCCCAGATTAGAAATGGCATATATTTGAAGGATCTTTTAATTAAAAAAAAGATTAATAAAAATCAATGCTGTTTGCTTAAAAAGCAAGAGAGAGGTGTTTGACATAAACAAAATTCTCAAGCTGAATTCTTCATTTAGCACTAGACATAGACTACATAAACTGAAGAGGTTGTACTGCCCCATATTTTGAGTTATGCCTCTTCAAATTGCAGTAACTAGAGAGTGGAAAGTGCTCTTCTCTTATCCCGCCTATCACTGCAGCAATCCATCCAGTGTGTGGAACTCAATATACCACGTACAGCAGGGACAGACAATCTTTTTGTAAGTGGGGGCCACACCTCTTAATTGTCCAATTGTACAGTGAGAAAGATAGTAGGATTTCCAACTTCTGTTTTCACTTTTTTTCAGTTTACTCTTTCATAGGTTTGTTATGCCTATCAGAAACTTAATAGACATTTGTTTTAATTTCAAGACTAACAGTAGCAGGAAATAATATTGCCATTATTTGACTGTCACTGCACCTTGGCTGCACAATCTTGGGAGGCTGCAGGAGCTGAATGTTGCCCTGTGCCCATCTCTAGCCTATCATAAGTGGGGAGTAGCCATCATAATTCCAACATCAAAGGTTGGACCTATTTTCAGATAATATAGTCAGCTATCAGAAGATCAAAAACAAACCAAGGAACAAGATATTTATGAACTCCTGTAATTAAGAAAAATGGGGAGATGCCTCCTTTAACCACCTGTAGTAGTTCACCTATAGGATTGAGAAAAGGTAAACAGAACAAAGTCCAGAGTAAAAAGATCCACTCTCAAAACAGGAATATAATCTACTGCCTACATCCATTTTGCCTACTCCTGATCAGGAGAAGCAACTTTCATCAGAGAAAAAATGAATCAGCTTTATTCTGTTCTTTGTAGTGATATAGGAAAGAATGTGACGTGATCATGGCAATAAAAAGTCAAGTTCTATCTCAGGAGGAAACCAAAAAGCATATAGCATACATGATCTGGTATATAACTCTTTTATAAAAGAAAAGTGCTGTTGTGTATTCAGATGTTGGCAGAAAATTTTAGATTCATGGAAAAACAGTGAAGGAAGAATTAGTTTCTAGGACAAAAAGCCAGCAACACCAAGATATGCATGATCCCCTTGTCATAAACCATCTCTTTAACCCACTCCAATTTACAGCTCTGCAGCAAGAGCTGCCAAGATATCTTTAAAAATGTCTTTACAATCATGAGGATTAGGAGTCAAAACTAAAAGAAATCTTCAGAAGGGTCTTCAGGAAAAATTATTCTACAGTCTATGCTTGATTGTGTACTTGCAAGTTATGTAGTTCATTGATTTTAACATACAGTGCATTCGGAAAGTATTCAGACCCCTTCACTTTTTTCAATTTTGTTATGCTGTAGCCTGATCCTACAATCGTTCAAATTCATGTTTTTTCTCATTAAT